TTTTCCAAATTTAAAGTGATTTTGATTCATACAAATGCTCATAATCATTTTCTTACCGTAGCAGTGCAGGATCTCTTGTCCTGCATTGATAACTTCGGCTGCTCTGACACTCACTGTGACTCCGTGCTCAGACACACTCTCACCGAGGTCTGCAGACAGATCCGACCCGGAGGGATCAACAGCAGCTCCGGTGCTGAACCCCAGGCTGGTGTTGGGACAGCAGGAGTGATTCAGGAGACTAAGAGTTGGGAATATTGCCGTGGAAATGCGGATTTCCCTGCGGGACTGCACCGGTGAGTTCGTTGCTCCTGTCAGATGCAAGAAATCAAAGTGTAAAGGGTCAACATGTAACTGAAGAGCAACAATTCAAGATGTTATTACTGAGAACGTAAAAAATCTTTGGATCCTCTGGATTTTTTGTCAAATTACATTACGAGATTTTTTTTGCGAAATTATAAATTCAGTGAATATTTTTAATTAATTTAGTGTAGAAATGAATTAATGAAATAGCGTAATCTGTTATGAAAATAGTTGTTCTTATAGACATAAATTGCAGGAATTGACATTTTTTTTCATATAATAAAAAAAAACATGGTTGCATAACTATGTTAGGAGAAAAAAGAACGTTTTTTGTTGTGGTTTTCATATAGGGACCCAAATAATCTACAACTGTATCATCCTTCATTTTCCCACTGATTCGCTGAAACTCTGAGTTGATGAATTTGATGAGAGAACAAACTTTGATTTTTCATTCAGGTTTCTCACTCTAACGCAGTTTTAATTGGTTATAGCGACAACGTTAAATTTAAAGTCAGGTAGAGAACATTGAACTAGATCTTTATACGTTACCTGCATCTTGCAGCGTGACGATCGCCTGGGCGTTACACCTAAGTTGCAGGATGTGCCTCAGAACAGCACTTCCCATCAGCCACAGCTCTGTGCTCCAATCTGTGTTACCTCCCTCCTCCTCCGGCGCCGCTGAGGGCCCACTGAGGGTCCAAGATGCAGGCGGGGGTCCTGTCTCCCTCAGCCTCAGGAAAAGCGTTGCTACGGTAACAGCGTTGAGGAAACGCAGAGCAGGGCTGTGGCGGTTCAGGTGGTGAAGCAGGTGGAACACGCTGAGGTAAGAGTCACCGTAGTGTGAAGCAGCAGGATCGGGTTGATTTGTATGAGTCTCACTTGACTCTCTGCTTGGACCGTCTGGCTCGGACTTTGTGTGCTTGCCTCTGATTGGCTCCCTGGCTGTTTGGACGTTTTTTAACCCCGCCTTCAGCGTTACCCTTAGAGCGAGCTGTGACATCACACCCATCACCATCAAATCTGCTCCCAGTGGACATTCCCAGCGGTGATGTTCCTCCCAGGCGTCCCGCTGGCAGCCGGTGGAACAGTATCGGCTGTAACTACACCCGTCACATGGCACAGGACACAGCGTTTCACTCAAACACCTGTGACAGCGTCTGTGCTCGGTTCCAAACCCTCCTCCCTCTGTGTCCAGCCCTCCTCTCCGCCCCTGTACCTCCTCTATCCCTGGTATGAGGACGCAGCTGTACGGCCTGTCAGTGAGGATCACCTCCCCAGCTGCTATTCTCTGCACAGCCACCAGGTGTCGGCCTTTCTCCGGGCTGAACCCTACAGCAGCTTGAGGACAAATCTCACTCTTGAGAACAGATGGTGCTTCAGCTCTGTCTGCACCTTTATGATTCTTTGAGGCAGGACCGTGACGATCGTCTTTTTCCTTTTGACCTCCAGAGATGTGTTTGAGACACTGGGTGCGACGCTCCTCTAGTTTGTGTAGAAGATGAGAGGGGTAGCCGTTCTTCAGGGCTCTATCAATGTCATTCAGGCATTCCTAAAAAAAAAAAAAAAAGAAATACATGGTGTGACAACCAAACCCAAGCTTGTGAGCAAAAGATAAAATAACAGACTTAATGATTTTACTTATAAATAAACCAAAATGTAAACCAGGAGACCCTGAGCTGAGATGCATCTGTAAGACGACTTACAGTTCATACAAATAAGCTCGCAAGATTTTAATAACAGATTTTGTTACCACTTGCTTCATAAGCAGATTTTTCGATTATTCAGCCTAACCTCATTGATTTAAATGCTGTGGGCAATTTTATATTTACACCACAACTCAAAGATTCCAGAAGAGTTTCAGCACAAACTGAACATTATTAACTTCTCGCATGAACGGTTATTGTAGGAATTTTGTGTTGGACTGCATTTGTTTGACACTGACCTGCATAATACACTTCTCACTCAGTGCATATTGCAAGAGTGACCAAGTGGAGAAAATAATTAGATGTCAGTATGCATGTGAAAAGGTCCAAATCCTGACACTGTATTCTAACATCATTCATTCATGGGTCCTCGTAAATCATCTGTTATTCATGAGTCCAGTACAAACAGCAAGTTGAACCTGTGACATTACTGTTGTAACAGCAGTAATAACAGGCGTCACGGTAACGTTCCCCTGCAGGATGACTGCACTGCAGTGCTGTTTAAACTGAATGTTAAACATCAGCAGAAGCAGAGCTGGTCTCAAACAAATTTTAATGACACCACTATTCACACACTGCTTCTTTATATAATATGGAAAAACCTTGGTCCAAATTTACAGGATTAACGTTTAAACCCTTCATATAACTAAATGTTAGATCACCCCAAATGTCAGATACCAGATCCAGTTGTGTGAGTCAGTATCTGATTCTGCGACATCAGCGTGGGATCGGTGCTCCCCCATTATTGGAGGAGAAGTGTAGGATGGCAGCATCTCACCTGGTGGAGCTGCAGGTGGTAGAGGGCAGCAGAGCGGTTGGCGTAACACAGAGGCAGCTGCTCTGACCTTAGGGGAGCGAAACAGACGCCCTGTCGAGACAAGAGACAGAAGCTGAGCAATGATGCACAAGTATTAAAGGGATAGTTCACCAAAAACAGTGTCGCTGCCTGAAAAACACTCGTGGAACAAGACTAAAACAGACACATCAGATGGAAATAAAAAGCTGTAGAAGATATTTCGAATGATGAAGACTTCTTTTGTGATGGATTGAGGTTTAAATCTCTTTTCAAACACCAGCCTCACCTGTGAGTAGTGCAGAGCGGCCGCGGTGTGGTCTCTGCTCCTGAAGCTGCAGTTTCCCTTCTCTCTGCACTTTGCTGCTCGCTCTGTGTCCTTCTGTCCCGAGTCTCTTTCACAGATTGACTCCAGAAAGTCCAGATCATCTTGGCTGGAGGACAAGAGACATGTTTCCATTAATGAGACCCAGAGGAAACTCTCTGTTTGTGTCTGACAGCTGAACCAGGGTCCTGTTTAAAAACGGACCCCAGCAGGATGACAGGGGAATAGAAACACATTCATGTAGTTTATTCACTCTGGACAAGAGACTTTACTGGTGAGTAATATAAAAGTGGATCAGGTGGTGTGGTCCAGATCATTGTCCCCTGAGGACTGACCACAGCAGCAGCTTTTACACAGTTTAGATAAAAACAATAATAGGATCATACTCTAGAACATCTTGTGAGTGACCACAGTGGTTTTAGCTGCAGCTACTCACGTTGTCAGAGTTAAGGCACATTTAAAAACATCATCTACTTCCGTCAGGGATGTAAAACGCTCCTGTAACTCGGGATCGAGCCTCGTCCATTTCTGTGCAACGTGGTCCTGCCACTGGACACAGGGAAGGTCCATGATGAAGACAGACTCCAGAGCAGAGAAGAAGAGTGTGAGGTTTGATTCCGTGTCCCGCCGCCTCTGAAGTTACAGGGAATTTCCCTACAAAGACTTTCAAAATAAGACGCATGCTGTACAGCTCTCAAGGGGGAATCATTATCTCCATAATTAAAGGGGTAGTTAACCCAAAACCGACAATTAACTCATTCTCTACCCACCACTATGCCGATGGAGGGGTGGGTGAAGTGTTTGTGAGATAAACAGTGTTGCAGCCATTCCAATACAATTGAAGTCAATGGTGAACGATTCTTTAACCGTATAAAATAACGTAATGTAACCTGCAGAACAGGGTGTCATCCGAGTGTCCAGGAGCCCTGACATTCAAATTCGATTCAAAAAGGTGTAATTTATGACGCTTTATGGTGCCATTTCAAGTTGGGGCTTCGGTCTCATTTGGCTCCCTGTGTGGTGGATCACATTAAGCTTTAGCAGAGAAAAGACTTGGATGAGAAATCTTGTTCTCATTTCCTCCTCTTCAAAGCTCCAACACCAACATGGGGCTTGAAACTAAACTTCTTTGACCACATGCTCTGACATGCTAGCCGTACTATGTCATATATCCCTTTTTCTTCATGATCAAGTACACTCCTACCATGCTTTGGAAAGCTTGAGCTTTTCTCTTGGCTTAGCTGAAGGCCCCAAAGAAAATTGCTGGACTCGAGAGAACTGATCAGCTATAGATGCATGATTCATGTGTATGAAACCAGGGGAAATAGATCCTCTGTTAATCATGTTAAGCTGCTGTAGCATTATTACTTTGTTCCAAAACACGTTGTCACATGTTTTTGGAATATGTCCAATCTCTTACAGTTTTCGTTCTTGGCTTAGCCACAACTACAAGACACATTTCGTGCTCAATTTCTCCCCTTAAAAGCTCTGAGCGGGGCTTGAACCCACGACCCCCAAAATACACATTCTCCTGATTATACATAATATAGATAACACACTTTAATTAAGAGACAACCTCTGTCTGAGGAGATCAGAATGAGAATCTGGTTTAATTACCAAGCAGGTTTACACATACAAGGAATTTACTGTGGCGTATATATGTGCAAATATACATATAACGAATATAAAAGTAGGAAGTCCATTATTTGCCACGGGAAGTTAAAGTGGAATGATCAGATCTCAGACACAGTTTCTCTCTCGCGCGCGCGCAAACGAGCCCTTTTACTCTTTTATTTTGAAGGTAACAAGGAGCCTTTTCCGGGGCAGGTCTCTTCTTCGTCACGTTTCTCTCTGTTGACATTTCGAAAGTATCGTTTGCGTCGCTAGTCTCGCGATAACGCCCACATGTTTACTATTGCTCCGCCTGAGGAAAGCTAAAGTCTGTTAGCTCTGAGCGCAGCTTCATCCTGGAGACATGAGTGTGGAGCTAACACAGGGGGCCATCAACGTAAGTGTGAACATTAATACAGCTCAGTGAATCTTTTAACTCTTAACTCGGTGTCGCCAGGCTTGTATTTAGTTAGCTCCACTAGCAGACGCATGCTAGCACTGTTAGCTAACGGGATTTGAAGTGACAGCTGATTCAGCTGTTGTTTAAACTTTTGTGGTGAATAACTTTTTTGATTTAAATGATGAGAACTGAGAGACACCGTGAGCTTCTCTTCACGTGAGGTCATTAAGTTAACACGGGGTTTTACTTTATTCATTCGAATGTTAAACTGGTTTGTGTTGTAGGCCCTGTTGGGTGGCTCACAGGTGAACAACCCTGTTCTGCAGCTGCTGGTGAGTGCATTACTGCATTTTAAATCATTTATCTGCCAATCCACCCATATTTTATCTCAAACGCCACCTCAGAAGGGATCATGGAGAAAATCTCCCATCACGTCACGTCTAACTTCCTCATTATAATGGAATAGGGTGAAGTTAAATAGTTTGACAGGTCATGGATTACCCGAAGTAGATTGGAGTTTCTGCTTATCCAGTGACATACGTACTCACAATGATAAAATTGAATAGAAACATGTAAAAGTCTGATGTTACAGTAAGGAAATCTGAGTCATATATTTCACTTATTGCACCTTTATATATCCTAAGGGAAATTTAGGATGGAACATTACCTTTGCTGTCACACTATCAAACTAGAATGGCACTCATACCGTTCTTGCCGATAATCATTTGTAGATGACAAAAAAAGATAGCATTTAGATAATTGTATTGCGTCACTGTGTACACAGGTCAGTTGATAAGTCATCATGAACTGTTCAGTATCTAGCAAAAGTATCCAGAGATTTTTAAATGTTGTTGTGTTGTGTATAACTTCCTTTGCTTCCTCTGTGTTTGTCAGAACATGCGTAAGATCAGCAGTCCCACTGGACCAAACAGGTTCCGGCTTATGATGAGTGACGGTCAACACTCATCAACCTGTGAGTATCTCGCTGTATGTAATGACAAGTCTCTGGGGTGTTGGCAGCAGACTAACAGATGAACCTGAAGTCCAATAAGAGTAAAATCCTTAATTATATTTTAGAGGACAACAAAGATGATGGAGTATTTTAGTTTCGGAGTTGTATATGAATGTGTTTGGTTTTGATGTGTTTGTGTACGTAGCCTTCCTGCTGGTCACTCAGTTAAACAATCTGGCTGAAGAGAACCTCCTGGAACCAAACTGTGTGTGTATGCTGAAGAAGACCATCACCAACACTCTGGCAGATGGCAGGTATGTGTTCCCTGTTACTTTCTTACTCTCCTTTCCTTTTGCTGCATCAAATCAGCTTTGTCTTTATTGCTTCTTGTGTTCCAGGCATGTCGTGGTTGTGATGGCTATAGAGATCTTGCAGTCAGCTGAGGAAACTCAAGGAAGGATTGGAAGTCCCACTGCATATGGCACAGATGGTTTGTTTCTTTAAAAATGTACATGCATGAAGTAAGAAACATTAATAATAAGCTTCTCCAGGTCATTATGCTCTTTATTCAAATTGCAGATACGATGCCATCCCTAGGGAATTTGGGCTCAAGGACTTCTGTGTCATCTTCATCAGCCGCAGTACCGGGACCCTCCAACAAGAACAGCAGCAGTGAGTGTGTCTTGTTTAACATTTTCTATATGATTTCATGCTTCTATAAACATGATTCTTTGGTCTTTTCAGTCATTACACATACTTGAAGTGCTGGACTGTGATAAATCCTCTTTATTAGACTTCAAGGATTATCATTTAACACCAGTGATTTTCTTGCCTTGGCAAAGTCGCTTCTCATTCACAGCAGCAGTTATTAAAGTGAAATCTGATTGCTTTAGCAGAATCATGTAGTATCATTAATAGGCATCATCTGCAAGACTCCACTTCGAAAATCTTTTACAGCTAACAAATTGGATGAATGTCTCACATATTTGTCAAGCACACACTTATTGATTGCTAGACTTACATTCTACATATACAAAGAATATACACAGCAGAGCGGCATGAGGTTCATGCCAAATTAAAATCAATGCAGACATTCTTAGAGTGATTTAGTTTTTAATAGATCTGTTTTTTAAGGCAGCAGCACCCATGGAGAATTGACAGTAGTACACAAACTACTTAAATCATTTAAAGCTTTATGTTTGTGGGTATTACATTATATAGATTAATACTTATTTCCTCTAATGATTAAACACTTCACTAACATAAACCTGTTCTTATTTCTTTATTTAGTAGTTATATGCACTGATCATTAAGAATTGTCAGGGTTCGAATGGGGGGTGACGTGAGAAGGGGAGGACCAAAACGCAGAAACTAAATAAGGTTTAACAAAAAGTGTATTTTATTTAACAGGGGTAAACTTAACAAAAGAAATCTCCAAGAAACAAAAGTCGCACTCATGAAACAGGAGTGGAACACAGGAAGGACAGGAAACAAACTTACGGGGAAACGTGACGAGAGCTGACAGGATACATGAACAGACAGAACCAGAATTGAGCTGATGGACAGGACTG